ATAATTAATCAGTGGAACAACTTGCCTCCAGAAGTTGTGAATGCTTCAACACTGGAAGTTTTTAAGATGTTGGGTAACCATTTCTCGGAAGTGGTGTACGGTTTCCTATCTAGGCAGGGGGTTGGACTAGAAGACCTTTAAGGTCCCTTCCAATTCTGGTTTCTATTCTATTAAAACATTGGATATACTGAAGAATATTCTTGAAGAATGGACTCAGAATTTTAATACAGGAAGTCCTTGAATTATGATCACAATTGAGGCCAAAATTTATATTGCTAAGCGAGAAATTTGTAAAGTGAGCTTTTCCCATTTTGCGACCTTTCTTGCCACAGTTGTTCAGTGAATCACTACAGTTGTTAAATTAGTAATACAGTTGTTAAGTGAATCTGGCTTCCTTATTGACTTTTCTTGTCAGAAGGTTGCAAAAGGCGATCACATGACCCCAGGATACTACAACCATCATAAATATGAGTCAGTTGCCAAGCATTTACATTTTGATCACATGATCATGGCAATGCTGCAATGGTCATAAGTGTGAAAAATGGTCATGTCACTTTTTGAAGTGCTGTTGTAAGTTTGAACAGTGACTAAATGAACTGTTGTAAATTGAGGAGTACCTGTATAAGGGATCCATAGCTATGTATTTCTCATTGTGTACCACACAGTGAATCTATTACACAATTCCAAGTCAATTATTCCCACATTTGGAAGAAAAATAAATGAGTTTGTAATCATTAAGAAAAACCTAACAGAAACTTAAGTTATTAATAAATAATAGCCATTTATTTCTCCAATGTTTATCATATTACTAATTAATAATGAGCATCTCCTCTCTGTCCCTGTTCTCATTTACCAAATTAGTAATATTCTTCAGGAACTTCACAAACTCCATTCGGAAGTCTTCAGGGTCTTCTTCAAGGCTGGAGTGTATCAATGTCAGCCTGTTCAATGGTGAAGCTTTGAAGTTGAAGAGAGAAAACAGTGAATCAGGTTTGCAATTTGACAAAGATTCCACAAAAACAGGGAAATAAATGTTATGGTCTTACGCAAAGTGAGATTGTCTACATCTCCTGCAGTGCCTGGCTTGTGATGTGCAATGAGCAAACACTGATTCTCAAGCAATTGCTGCTGTTGGACAAAACAGGAGTACCACATTTCAATTTCCTTCACATGGCTTGGCAAGTCTGGATTAAAAATAATGACGACACCATGGGAATCTTTCATCAGAGCAGGCCAGCAAGTCTCAAATCTAGAAGTGCAAAAGAAAAAAAAATGTAGCTGGAAAGTGTTGTTTGATAGAAATGATGCAACCAGCTGCAGATAATAACTGGGTTCACACTGCTTCAAGCCACAGTTTTTCAACTACTTAATATGCAGCCCATCTCTCTATCCAAGTATAAATATTAGTGTAAAATGTCAAGCATAGTTTGCTAATCAGAGCAGTTGGGTTCATATAACACAGTATTTCTCAGCCTTAGCAATTTTAAGATGAGTGGACTTCAACTCCCATAATTGCTGCCTGGGGTCCATATATATCTTAAAGTTGATGAGGTTGAGAAACATTGACATATTGTATAAGATGAAACTAGCAAGCCAAATTATAATTTAATTAAACCTTACTGTTATATGTGAAATTCCTATATGGCTACAGATGTGCAAATATCCACCAAACTACTTGTCTGCAACAAGCCTCTTTATATGTGGAGGCTTTCTAAGTGATTCAAAAAATTGTTTTTTTAATCGACATATCACACCAAGGAGTAAGTACCAAAAGTCATGGTGTTTAATTTCCCTTTCAAATCATAATTTCTAACTCTATATTGCTAGCTGATTGCAAACCATCAATTCAGTTATCATGCCAAATCAAGTTAAGTTACTTGGCTTAACGCATCTGGCGTAAGTTGTGAATGGATTTACACCAAGAAAGCTGGCAAGATATATAAGAAACTTGCTCACTTTTGATCACCTCCACAATCCCATAGTTCAAACCGACATCCTGGTCCTTTGCTGTTTCCATTGAAATGTGGCTTCTCATACTCTAAAATCCTAAAATTTAAAAATAGGTACTCCATTTGAGTAAATAAAACAGGCATGCTAGAGAAAGAGGAACCCTGATCTGTATGAAGAATATTTTTCAAATGAACTGTACTATATCATATTACTTGCCCCTGGTTAATTTCTCTTCTTTCCAATCAAAGTATAGTTAGAACTCTGCCAGACATTCAATCTTCTCTGCCCATTGGCTAATATCAGCCACTACCATCTCGTTTCAACAAAAAGATGCACTCATAGTTTTGGATTTATGCATTCACCTGTCAAGAGCTACATGTCAACAAATGTACTGCATGGAATTTGCATTAAAAAGGGCAATGAAAGACTATTCCCTGCATCGTGAGATTAACAAATCAAACAGATTGCCAGATAATGCAAACTCCTTGTTCTGTTCTTAGTAGAAAAATGCATCTATGTCATCTAAGCCATACATTTAGCAAACTTTTCTGTAGGATAGTAAGATTTGGGAGAGTTATGTACAAGCAAGATAATCACATTCATTTCTGCAATGATCCACATGTATTAGACTGGGTATGTACTAAATGTCAAGATTTCATTATTGAAGAAGTAATTTAGTACAGGTAATCCTCAACTTACAATTATTCATTTAGGCACTGTTCAAAGTTACAGTGATACTGAAAAAAATAAGTGATATAATAACTGCCTTATTTAGCAATGGACATTCTGGTCCCAATTGTGTTATAAGTCAAGGACTGGCTGTTAATCAGTATGATCTAAGTTATGTTTTCAGACAGGGAGAAAGTACTAACAATGATTTTAATGAATGGTTTCAGACATTTTAAAGCTTGCTTGTGTAACCAGGTGCACAGTAAATAAGTCTATTCCTCCTCACCTTACTCCTTGTGTGGGGATGTAACTGCCAATACCTTCAATGGTCTCTGACAAAAAGTTTGCCAAGACAGATTTTCCAGCCTATCACAAACAAATTCAGAAACAAAATTACCGAAGCATTAGCAGGAATTAAATTACAACAAAAGTATTGTAATGCACCGGACAAAACTATACCATTTCATGGCTGTTCTGACAGTTTGGAACAGAGGTATTTCCAATACTGGCTGTAGCTTAAAGAAGATCCCACCTGGAATTCTTCCCCACTGTGATTGATGTATTTTTAAAAAGTTTAGAAATGCCATGAATGAATGCACAAGACTGGGATTAGTTTCAAGGAACATTTTGATATTGTTTTTCTTATCCAAGGTGGAAGAGGATATTTTGGACTCCAATTCCCATCTGCCTCAACCCAAATTGGCAATGATTAGGCATCTTGAAAATAAGCTTTCTTTAGCAGGTAGTCCTTGACTTACGACCACAATAGAGGCCAAAATTTCTGTTAAGTGAGTTTGCCCCATTTTTACAAACTTTTTTGACACAGTTGTTAAACGAATTCCTGCAGTTGTTAAGTTAGTAACACAATCGTTAAGTAAATATGACTTCCCCACTGACTTTGCTAATCAGAAGGACGCAAAAGGTGATCAGGTGTCCCCAGGACACTGCAACTATCATAAATATGAGCCAGTTGTCAAGCATCCGAATTTTGAACTGACCATCCAAGCAACGATCATAAGTGTGAAAAACAGTTATGAGTCACTTTTTTTAGTGCCATTATCACTTTGAACCGTCACTAAAGACATTATTGTAAGTCAAGGACTACCTGTAATAAGTAGAAACCTGCTGGATCAGACTATCTAGGAAACCAGAGAAGAAAGACACAGCAGAATACTAAGTGAATCTCTTGTTCACAAAGAGACTTTCTTAACATGAAGGCTCTACTCAAACTGCTCAAAGAGCTGCTGATTCAGTTCTACAGAGGAATTATTGAGTCTGTCNATATATCAATCAATCTATCTATCATCTATCTATCTATCTATCTATCTATCTATCTATCTATCTATTATATTTTTATGCTGATAAATAAAGGGAGACTAGTATAGATCTATTTCAAGCTATTTAGCTCTCATCAGCTAGCCATACCTATATATATATATATATATATAGGCTAGCCATACCATATAATGTTTTTTTAATTTGTGCTGATAAATAAATAAAAACACAAATATAACAAAGGCAACAGTAAAAATATTGGGTTTCTGTCGTGATGGACTCTTGTGACGAGCCGACTGACAGAGAATGGAAGCAGTTAACTTCCTCCCATAATTGGGGCATACCAGGGGTTGTGACTTTAAGTAAGTAAGTAAGTATGTATGTATGTATGTATGTATATAATATAATTGATAGAAACTAATTATTGAAAATTTTAGGTTAAGTTAGAGAAGCATTTGTGGTGAAATTCCCAAGTTAGCAAAATCTGCTGGCACACCATGAGAAATTAATCAAAACTAAAACCAAAAAAGCTATGTTCAATAGTACTAAAAAAAAGAATCTGTTCTTATCTCTGTGATTTACTTCTCTGGACTTGTCTTTTTCCAGCTAGTACTTATTTCTGAAATGGCAGTGAATGGAAATGGAAAATTCCTTCTCTCCCCAATACTTGTACAGCATAAGAGAACTGTCCACTTTGAAAAGAATCTACTGATTGCAGTTTGGCAAGAAGAGTTTTCAAAATTTGCCCCTTTATAGTAAGGACACATAAGAGTCGAAACATTCCTATATGTTGTATAAACAGTAGAAACAGAGAACCCGCATTCCCATACTTAACAAATGATGAATTGTTTTCTTCCAGGAAGCTTATAAAAAAAATATTTAGCCTAACTGCAGAACAAAAACAGAACTGGTAAAGAATCTGAAATGGGCTCATGCACGCCTATCTAGAGCGTGTCCTGGAATCTCACAAAATGACTTGTTGCAAGTTTTAATTTCAGTTTCTGCAAATTAAAAAGTAAGTAAAGGAGTAAACTGACTTAATTTATTGTGTGAATATACTACAGATTGGATTCAAATATCATGCTCCCTAGGACTTGTTCTGAGTTTAGTTTATTTGTTCAATAAAGTACCATTGACTTTGTCCATACTAACTAATGGCTACAAAAGGTATTTGAAATGTCAGACTAGCTAGGTCAAAGAACACAATAAACCAAACTTAACAAAACATTTGATAATTGAGCTTGCATCTATAAACCCAACTGCACTGTCTTGTACTTGCCGGTATATTATTTTTCATGCTTAAATAATACTGTTTGGTTAGTCGTTTTTGATGCACCAAACCTCTTGTTAAACTTTCATTTCAAAGGCAAGGGAAGAGGAGTCACATCTGAGTAAGGATGTATTGTACGGTTGGAATGGGTGCAAAACTGATGTTGCGTTTTGTGTAACTTTAAACAGCACAATGGTATTGGAATGTTTGCTGTCTTGTTGCCAAAACAAAACTTGCTGTATAAACACTACTTTTAAGATCTTTCTCTTTTAAAGAGGAGAAAAAATATATGTTCCATATGCCTTTCAGAAAATCAAATCGATATTGCCAAATTGAATAAATGGCACATCTGACTTTCCCCAAAAGAGAAGAAGCAAGACTGAGAATGTGTTCCAACCCTGCTTCCTGGGAGTCATCTTTTATAAACAATATATAAGGTAAAGGTAAAGGTTCCCTTTGCACATATGTGCTAGTCATTCCCAACTCTAGGGGGCAGTGCTCATCTCCGTTTCAAAGCCGAAGAGCCAGTGCTGTCTGAAGATATCTCTGTGGTCATGTGGCCGGCATGATTAAACACCGAAGGCACACGGAACACTATTATCTTCCCACCAAAGGTGGTTCCTATTTTTCTACTTGCATTTTTATGTGCTTTCGAACTGCTAGGTTGGCAGAAGCTAGGACAAGTAACGGGAGCTCACTCTGTTACGCGGCACTAGGGATTTGAACCACCGACCTGCTGACCTTTCTGATCGACAAGCTCAGTGTCTTAGCCNTCTTCTCTGCACTCTTTCTAGAGTCTCTACATCTTTTTTACATCGTGGCGTGATGAGAATCTGAGGAAATCCTCCAATGGGTTAAAGTTTGGCGAAAAACTGAAAATAATAAGAATAAATGCACAATATTCACAATAGTGAGAGATAAGAAAGAAAAATTTATTTGTGAGTCCAAAAAAGCACCCAAAATAGATTAAGGTAGATGACAACAGGGCTATGTAAATATAATTATGAGAGTCTGATTGCATCTTTTTCTGAAAATTGATCCGTGCCCGTCTCTCTTTAAGGTAGCTTAAGTAGAGGAAGAACACAACTATTATTGCTGTTACTAAGAAATATTTAATCTGCAGTAATTGCATTTCTGTGGACAATTTACACAATATTTTCAATCATAAAACAGTAAAGTTTTATCACTTTAAACAGTAAATCGTCAGAAAACTATCTATAGGATTATCATCTTAACCTTTAACCACAAGTGTTGTCAGCGCAGGAAACAAAAAATGAGATGGTAGATTTGTTTACTCCTCAGAAACTGAGAACAACCTTTGGACAAATGTAGTAACAGGCAGCCCTCTTCTAGATAGATCTATATAGACTATCTGTAGATATATCAGTATACATAATGATTATATCAGTTCTAGTTTATCAAGACTGGGAGATGCTTGCAGCAAGGCAATCAGAGAGCAGACAAAATTTGCTTTGCTTTCGTATTCATATTTATATATTGTGCATGATTTTACATCATGTTACACTACCTGAATACACTACCTGACTCTGTGGTTTCTTCCCCAAACCCCCAAAACTTTAACCCTAGACTGTCTACTGTCAACCTCACCCCATTCCTAAGAGGTCTGTAAGGGGTATGCATAAGCACATTGGTCCCTACTGTCCCTGTCCTAATATTTCTTTTTATTTGTATCGATTTCATGTATCCAAAGTCATCTTTATACTTATATATGTTGTCTAATACATGTTTGATTAAATAAAATGAATAAAATGCTACTCTTTTTGGATTTATTTTTGGTTTTTGTTGTTGCACATCAACCTAGAGTTACATTGAATTGGGCAGCCTTATAAATCTACTGAATATATAAATAAATGTCATTTAGGAAGATTACTCTTGCACTCTCAAACAAATTCTTTTTAAAAAAAAATGAAATCTATGCTTTATTTTACTTGTGTTTATAGGACTGGCTCAGAGAGCATGCTGTTTCTTCTCAAGTGAATATTTCACTGAATTGATTCTTTCTTGGAAACACAATATTTTTGGTCTGTAGTGTGAATACTCCAGATTTTGATTTCTCCAAAGTTGTCCAGATTTTTCTCACACAAGGTTTGGTGATCACGAAATGGCAGAAAAAGTAAAACCGTGATTGCATCAGAAGCGGTAACATTTTCAGCTGAAAACCTAGAAAGAAGGCATCCAAGAGGACACTCACAGCAGTTTCCTAAAGCAATTACTAATTTAAAAATAGATAGAGCAACAGTAACCTCTAGTGGCTGAGCATATTTAAATTTATTTCCTTTCTCTCTGTTGCCCTTAACTTAATACCACTGGCAAGTTTTCATTATATGTAGCAGCCCCCTTTTTTCTCCAGTCCTCTCCTGTGTTCTGTTTTTTGTTAGGATAGAAAGTGAAATATGAAACAGTATCCCACCCATCACTCTCTCTCTCTCTGTGTTTCTCTCTCTCTCTTCTCCCCCCTCCAAACGCCCCCCCCCCCATCTGGTTCAGGGAACAGAATGCTGGATTGGTTGCTGATTTAGCCTGTGAGTGGGTGGGCTACACACTTCCTGACCTGCTGGCACCCTGATTTCCAGTAGACTTTCTCTCTTTTTCTTTTAAAAGGGAAAGTCATCTCGCTGGCGACAAGGCAGTGACTACATTACAAGGCGGTGACTTCATTGCGTTGAATAACTTGACCCTTGTCTGTGCAACTCAATACTTCTTCAGGAATAACACTTCTTCAAGTTTAGCTCCAGGGTGGTTTGTGCAGTTATTTACTTCTGGAGCAGCTCACTCATCAGGTAGCTAATTCATAACTCATTCCCTTGAAATCCTCTGGCTTGAGTGGAATAGTGTGGAAGGGATTCTCAAACTCTGCTTGGCAAAATGGTCTCATTCTTACCACGAACCTGGTGGAGTCTTTGACCATGGATGGCAAAAAAGTGAAGATGGCAGCCATGACTGCCTAATTCAGAGGCGTCAAACTCAAGACCTGGGGGCCAGATTTGGCCCACGGGGTGCTTAGATCTGCCCTGTGGGGCCACCTTGGAAACAGTGTAGGACCAGCCCGTGGTGCCTCTGCCAGTGAAAATGGAGCTCAAGGGGGCCATGTGGTCATACCCCCCTGCCCTCTGAGGTCAAACACAACCCTGATGTGGCCCTCAATGAAATCGAGTTTGACACCCCTGTCCTAATTGAAATCCTGCCCTTTTCTTATGTA